GGCCGCGCGGGGGCCGGGGGGGCGCGTCGGAGCAGCTCCGGGGCGATGAGCCTGTCGTGCCGGGCGGGCGGGTGAGGGTTCAAAGAGAGAAGAGCGAGGAACAAGACCACAAGGAAGAGCTTTACAAGCCATTTCAAAAGCACACATGCGAGCGAGGAGGCGCCCCGACGGCGCTCGCAAAGCGGCGGCGGCGCGCGATCATCGCGCGGCATTTGGCACGCTCAAAAGTGCGCCGAAAGCCGCGAGCGCGTTTTTTTTTTTCCCCACATCGGAACGATCCCGAGCGTCCCGTGCCCGACGCCGTCCTTTTTCAGCACGGGGCCAGATTTCCGCCACGCGCTCGCAGAGGCGCGACCCCGGCCGAGGCCGCCCGCCTGGAAGTCGCCGGGGCGGTGACTTCGGGACGCGCGTGACGCTCATCGAGGCGCGGACTTGCCGTTTGGGTTTTGCTTTGCTTTGGTTTACTCCGGAGCAAACGAATCGGAGAACGGGAATTTGAGCAGACCGCCGCGCTTACGGCCGAGCGCGCGTTTCCAGCTCCGTCGATGGAAAAGCGACGGGCCGCGTCGTCGCTTCGACAAAATCATTCCGGCGCGAGGCCGGTACGGAAATGACGTGACGGGAGAAAGCGCTCGCAGCCGCGCGCCGAATAAAAGCGTACTCCGACCCCCGCCAAAATCAATCAATCAAGTCAATGTGGATGTGGCCCGCGACAAAACACGGCCGCCGTTCGAGGCGTCAAAAGGAGGCGGCGGCGGACGCTGACCTGGTTGATGACGTAGACGCCGTAGTCCAGCTGCTGGCGCTGCAGGATGGGGTGCAAGTAGTAGAGCCAGAACTTGAGGTGCTCGTCCCGCTTGCGGAAGGGGATGACGACGGCCACCTTCTGCAGCGCCGCGCAGTCTTTGGGCTTGTAGCGGCCGCCCGGCCCCACTTGGGGGTTGGCCTTCCGGACCGCGTCCAGGCTCACCGGGATGTTGAACTCCACCCGCAGAGGACCCACTGCAACCGAACGCAACGTCAGTATGGAATGGAAGATTTTCGGGTCCTATCAAATTTCAGCTGCTATGTTCTGCCAACTGGTGAAAGGACACTTTGATTCTCTCCTCTTTCATCTCAAACTGCTTTAAACAACAAAGCATGTGAGGGAAAAGTGGCTAGAATTGCACGGCTGTCCGTGTTTTATGTTATGTGTTGCCTTTCTTCTTTTACTTTATGTGAAGTGTTTTGTTAAGCGCTTTGTGACAGCTGCAGCTGTTGTGAAAGCGCCGTACAAATCAGGATGAATTGTATTGTGTTGTCAGACCCGGCCGGGCGCCCCGTCGCCACGGTAACCCTCGCCCGCCAGACCGCTGGGGGACGACGGCCGACGGGAGGTCGCCGGTCAGGAAACGCGGCCGGAGTAGTTTGGGGCTTCCCGTGACGCCGATTTGGGCCATTTCGACTTGTTCCTCAAATTCAGTCCAATTGGTTTTCGCGCGCCTTTCTTCGCCCCAAAATGCCCCATTTGAGTCTTTCCTGCACATGGAAAGTGCGGGATTCAAAAGTCGATCGAACACACGCGGGTCACGGTACTGTGGAGCAAAAGGCCAACATCCAATGCAGGTCGAGGGTGGGGAAGGCCAATTCCTCGAGAGCCGTCTCCCGCCCGACTCCGATTCAAACCGGCGGCTCATCGGCCGGCTCCGGAAAAGCCCGAGACCGTCGTCGTCGAGTGAATCGGGTGCGTCGGGGCAAGGAGGCCGAAGGTGGCTCTCGAGGACCCCGAGTTCCCCCCAACCCCGCGATCGCTTCGGCTCCCGCGAAACGCCATCGACAACGACCGGAACCCAAGCGTCGCAACTGCTCTCAAGACGACGCGCGTCGCGGTAAAAGCGTTCCGGAGAGACGCGGCGGCAACGTCGCGTACAAAGTGGCACCAAGAAGGTGGCGCCGGCGCCATCCAACAAACTGCAAATGACCTTCAACCTCCATTTCGCCCAATCCGCAACACAGACCGGATAGGTTCAAAAGAAGCGCAGGTACGAGACCGGCCCGCCTGCATCCAGACCCGTCTCCCGTGAGGGGCGGCGTGGCTCAGCGATAGAGGGGTCGCCTCCCCCGGCCGCCGCGACCTTGTCCAAGCGTCCTCGAGCGAGACGGCGAATCGCCACTCGCTCCCGATGCCGCGCCATCATCAAGAGGCGGGTGTGAAAACGGCGCTCGGGGACAGCCCGTCGAAAAGGGGCGCCGAGCGTCAAACGACGGAGACCCCCGCGGCCGAAGCCCAACGTCAAGCGAGAAGGGCAAAGAATTGCACCCGCGACGCTTCGACGATGAGCGTCCTCGCTTCCCCAAACGGTCAAAGAAAAGTGGGCGCGACACACCCCCTTTTTTCAAAGGCGAAAATTCAACGTCAATCATCATTTCCTCAACACAATCGAGTCGATCGCGTTGACCGTCAACACTCTTGTCTCGGGAGCGCCGAACGTGATTTGCCATTCGGCGTCGGCCGTTGGGATCGACGTTTGCCACAAGGTCCCGACCGACCGCAGCGGACCGGCGCTTGTGAACTCGAACGGCAAACTTTTGCGTTCCGAATTCGACACGATTCGCCTCGGAGCTAAATTCAGGCCGAGCGGGTCGACTTCATTCCGCCCCTCCAAAATCATTCCGTCCGGCCATTTCGATCCCAGAACTAAGTCGCCAAACCGCCGAGGAGCTTCCGAGAGTCTTGGCAGGCCGGCGGCCCCGCGTCGCGCGAGAACGGAGCCGCGGCCGCCAAACAAAAGCGAGCCGTCACGAGACCGCATTCTCTGGCACGTCTCGCGGAGGGCCGCGAGGCTGCCGACGCTTGTCCTCGTCTTCTTGGCTCGCGGTGTGCTCGCCGAAACAAAGAACGAGCTCGTGAACCCAACCAAAACCAATCGACAAAAAGGAGTTCCTTCCCCAGCCCCCACCAAAAAAAAAAGCCAGACTGTTGAGGAAACTTGAAGAGCAAGCTTCGAAACGACGCAGATCAACTTTCAAACAAGTTCAGAAGAGGGGGGTGGGGGTTAGGAAAAAGTAGAGGGGGGGGGGGCGAAGTTAAAGTAGCACAAGTTGTTCGAAGGTGCGGAAGTGGCTGACCGAGCAGGGGTGACGTTTGCGGACATGTCTTCAAGCGTTTGTCGTCCGGCGTTTCGGGTTCCGGGGCTCGGCTGGCGGCGGGCGCGGCACTCGCGGCGCTCCCGGCGCGGGTCTGCTGGTTCTGGACGAAGGCGAAGCGGAGGTCCAGAGAGCGGACGTAGAAGAAGACGGTCACGGAGATGTGCAGGAAGCAGAGCAGAACCACGAGCTTGCACGTTCGGTGGAGGAGGTTGAAGCTGAGCGACGGCTCGGCCGAGGCCATCGTGAGCTCGCTCTCGCTCTCGCTTTCGCTGGCGGTTGCGGTTGCGTCGACCCCCCCGGCCCCCGCTAGCTGCTCGCGCGGCCCTCCATCTCTCGGGCGGACGTGTCAAGGCGAGCCAAAAGACGAAGCGAAACCGGCGCGGCGCCCGGCGAACGGCCAACGGCGTGTGACGTCGGCAACTCCAACGCCGTCGCCGCGTTAGCTTTAGCCCCGGGAGCTTCCCGGACCCGCGTTCGCAAAAAGGGGCTTGGACTCGGCCGCTTCCGCCGAACCGGCCCGGAACAATCTCGCGCTCGCGTCGCGGGTCCAAAGAGGCCGAACGGGACGCGCGGCGACCGAACGAACTGGACGGCAACTTTCGAACAGTCCCGAAAGTCCACAAAACTTCATCGGCCGCCAAGTCAGAACGTCGCACCGCTGCGTTTCCTCTCACGCACTTTTCAAAATAAAAGACTGTTTGCGCTACGTCGGGGATGGGTTTTTTTTTTTTTTCCAGCAGTGTTCCGCTGACTCTTGCGCTTGGGTGCAATCATGAAACGGAAACTGGGTCATTCTGTCGTCACATATGAACCGCGAGCGCAAACGCACAAGTCTCAGGAAATAATATGACCTTGTACGCTTCGATCGATTGGTGCGGAACGTCATCTTTGTATTCCAGCGGGCGAGCCTGAGCCTGAGCCTGAGCCTGAGCCTGCGCCGGCCGACTCTGTCCGAGGGGTGGGCTCGGCGCCGTACTGACAAACGTTCAAACTCGCGCCTCCGCACAACTTCCTCGACCGTTTCAAAAGGAAACGCGTCCTTTGGAATGCGGGAGAACCCGCCCCCGACCGGTGCGCCCGCCTGCGACGTCATTTCCCGACGGCAAGGCCACCGGCCGGATCGGCCCAACTGCCAAAACCTTCCCGAGAGCGTCGAGGAAGTTGACGCTCAACTCAACCCGAGTGGATTTCTCGAGCACTTTCAAACAGCCGCCGCCGCCGCCGCCGCCGCAATCCGAGCGCTGTACGCGGAGCAACTACCGCACGCGCAACAAGAAAACAATCCGTCAGTCACAAAGACGGTAGAAAGCACCAAACGGCAAAAGTAAGATCAAGGCTGAGTCAAATGCTGGCGATTCCCCGCATGAAAAAAAAACCCCAAATACGAGTTGAAGGAACGCGCCTCCCCATCTCATTCATCTCAGCCATTTTGCGAGATATTGCAAACTTTGGACTCATTTAATGGCGTTGATGTACTTTTCCGGTCATCTAACTGAAAACAACAAACATGACGCGTTTTCACCCATTGGCGAGTTTGATTGAATTTTACTTTGATAATTGGCTCGAAATACAAAGACGTTCAATGATTCTCCTCCATGATTGTCTTCTTCCCCCAAGCAGTGTCGTCTCTCAATCAGCCGTGCGTGAGAGTGAAGCTGACATTCGCCAAGCTGACAGCGTCCCCTTTCAAAAAAAACAACAAAAAAAAAAAACCCCAAAAGATTGCGATATCTCACAATGTTTGCGAGGGAAGCAAATATTTTTCGTTTTTTTTTCTTCTGCGTCCCCTTAGGGCAGGGGTCGGGAACCTAAGGCTCGTGAGCCAGGTGTGGCTCTTTGGATGATTTCATCTGGCTCGCAGATAAAATTAAATATTCTCGCTTGTTGAATCCATCCATCGATTTTTCACTGCTCACGTCCTGTTCAGGGCTGCAGTTGGCGGCAGGAGCAATTTGAATTGAACGATACTGGCTTACATTGGCCCTTGCTGGGTAAACGGGTAAATGCCCCCTTTTGAATCGCGCGCACGCACACACACACGCGCGCGCGCGAGATATCGTGGGACGTAACAGTCAAACTATCCCCAATCACCACCGGATAGCAGACATGTCCTATGGGGACGTTCCAGCCAGCCGTTGTGCAAGCGCTCGATCAATGAAGAGGTTCGCTCTTGGTTTGGTATGCAGGACAAATGTAAAAAAAAAAAATGGGGGTGGAGGTGATTATGTGGCTATTTTGTTGTTTGCTTCAAACCCTTTTGTTGTCGGGTAAGGATAGTGGAACTATTGGACACGTGTAGGTTTATGTTATTTTATTAATGATCATTTGATGTTTGAGCATCATATTATTTCATGTTAAGCATACCGAAATGATATTCTGTTGTTTAATAATTGCTTAGACATGTTTTTGTGTTGCTAGGTTCTGATTGGCTGTTAAAGTAAGAGAAGCAGGAAGTGATTTTAGTGACTAGAGTTGCGTTCTCGAACGTGCTGCGGTGCAGACGCCTTTTTTTCTCTCGCTTTTAATAAACTGCATGAAAGGATTCTCCCATCTCTCCTTTTGTCATTCGTAAAGAAGAGCCATCCACTAAAAAACAACGAACCCCTCAACTTACACATGCATTGAAAAATCTATGATTCAAATGAAATGTATTCGGAGCGCGTATTTTGCGCGTATGCACTTATTTTGTCCATATTTAAAATCGAGTTTTTGTCATACATGTGGTAAGGTAGCGCGCGGTCCTCGGTCGACCCCCGGGAGCGCCGATGAAACATTGTGGCCCCCTCGGGATCGAAGTCGCCCACCCCCGCTGAGGCCTCCTCGCAATTGTGGCTACCGCAGTCAACATTGGGAAGTTGTTCTTTCTTAACGGCGCTCCAATAAAATGTGACGTGAAATACCGTCAGTCTTGTTCAATGTTTTGGCTCAACGACGTGACCGGAGTAAAACAAGCCCGTACTGCAGTGAAATAAAACGGCGCCGTAGTCAAATAAAATAGTGTGTCCTAAACAAAAAAAGAAAAACCGCACTGTAGTGGTCTAAAACTATCAGCGTAGTCAAATAAAAAAGTGCGACCAAAGGAAAAGTCGTCGAGTGGGGGACAAAAGCGACGCTGAGGCACTACTTTGTCTCCCCCTCGCGCCGTTCGCGTGCGTCGCTTGGGACGGCGACGTGATGACGTCACGCGAGCGACGCGGCGCACTGTGGAGGAATGCGAGGCAACTTTTTCCGCTTTCTTCCCCGCTCGGTCCCTCGACGACGCGCGGACGTTTTCTCCGCGGGCCGGCGGCTCGCTCGACCAGTTGCCGCCCCGGGACAGCGGGTGAGTGCGAGCGGGGCGGCGGGTCGCCTTCGGCGGGCCTCGGACTCAACTTGGCGCGGCGTCGCTCGCCGCGAGCAAACTTTTGGAAAATGGAGGCGGCCCGCGCGTCTCGACCGGGCGAGAAGATGACGGGAGGGGGGTGGGGGCGCTGTCCGCCGCTGATCGCGATTCAGGACCATGGCTAACACTTTGCCGGACGCACTTTTCGCCCGGGCTCGTTCCTCCGCGGCCTCGTCGCCGCTTCTGGGCCGCCCTCGACTTGCGGGCTCGCTCGCACCGCCAACTTAGTTGCAAAGTCGAGCGGCGGCGCGTTCGTGCCGAGCTCATCCGACAGCGTCGCGCTTTGAGGCGTCCGAAATGCCTTCGGGGAATCGGACGTTTCGACGACGTCCGGAATGAACGCGAATAGTTTGTCGAGTATGAGGCGAAGTGTGAAGGGCTTTGCGCTGGAAAATGCGACGATGACGAGAGCGAGGGCGGAACGCTGTCGTTCTTTCTCGGATGTGCTCCGCGCTGCCGGTTTGTGACGGGACGGGGGGGGGGGGGGTTTTGAAACGGGAGGGGGGGGGGTTTTGAAACGAGATAGATTTGGGGGCTTGTTGTTTTTGTCGCTTTTGCGACGCGGGCGCTGTCGACCGCTTCGGTGCTGTTTCAAAATGGCCGACCGGGCTTTTTTTTTTTTTTTTTTTTTTTTTCCACCCTCCCAAAGTTGGCAAACTTTGTCACGGGCGCGTTCTGAACACAGCGAAGACATCAGGAGAAGCGATTCCGGGTCGCTTCTTCTTTGGCTTCTCGAGGAGCGTCGAACGCCCGCCTCGCTTCCACAAGCGTCCGTTTGTCGCCGAGACCTGCGGCGACGCCGCTCGACCCGCGTCGCGTGCTCATCTCCGCTCAAGCCAACTCGAAGCACGCCAAGTAGGAAACGGCCGCCCCGATAGTTTGGATTTGATGGGCGCCGGAGAAGCTCGGTGAGGAAAGGGGCGACTGTGCGGCAAATCGGGGTTTTGCCCAAAGAACCTTTTCGCCCGTCGGCTTGAATCTTTTCTCGAGGAGTAGCTGGAAGAGCGGATCACACGAAGCCAATGTTCTTTGCGCTTGTTCACCGTTTGACTTTTGCAAACATGACTTTGGAAAACGCCCATCAGCGGCTTTATTACGGACCCAACCGGGCGCCCAAACAATCGCTCGCCGCATTTCCCAAAGCGTCAATCGCAGAAGGGGGAGGGATGGAAATGCAACGTTGTCGCTCGCAATTTCATGGATTCATCATTTCTGTGGAGGTGGATGCAACTTTTGAAGGGGGGCAAAAAAAAAGAGATGCCAGGTGGATCCGGCCCCCCTCCCCAAAATAAAAGAAACTAAAATGTGGGATTTTATTTCAGGACTTGAGTTCGGCGCGGCATCGATGGCCCGGGATTTCTCTCGGGTTCCGGTTGAAAGCCAGCTGGCGCGCGCTTGCGGGCAGGAGGCCGAGATGGCGTCGGCGTTCCCCGCGGAGCCCTTTCCGCTGATGGACGACGTCCGCGGCTCGCCGGCCCCTCAGCTGGTGATGCTGGCCAACGTGGCGGCCGTGGCGGCGGCCGACGGCGCCGAGGGCGGCGCGGCGGACGACAAAGAGATGGTGGAGCTGAAGACGGTGGCGTGCGGCTACTCGGACAGCGAGGACGACGGCGTCGCCAGGTGCGCGGCGGGGGCGCGGCGGAAGCGCGGCGCTCGGGTTAACGATACCGCTCCTCGGCAGGTACGGCGACGAGAGCCGCGACGAGAGCCGCGACGGCGACGCGGTCGCCTTCTCCCGGTCTCCGCTCGTCTGCAACGGGCAAAATGGCGGAGGGGAGGCCGGCGGCGAAGTCCCGCCCCCGAACTCCAGCGGGCCCCGCCCGCCCGCGGTGCCGGCGGAGGGCGGCAAGAAGAAGAAGCCTTTCCACTGCAAGCCGTGTCACTTTCAGGCTCACGGCGAGGAGGAGTTTGTGGAGCACCTGCGGACGCACGCGCTCAGCAAGATGGCGGTGGTGCAGCGCGTGGAGGGCCGCAGCAAGGCCAAGGCCAAGGAGGCGGAGGCGGCCCCGGACGGCGAGGGCGAGGCGGCCTCGGGGGACGCCAAAGGCCTGATCCGCTGCGAGCGCTGCGGTTACAACACCAACCGCTACGACCACTACGTGGCGCACCTCAAGCACCACAGCAAGGAGGGCGACGACCACAGGTCAGCCGCCGCCGCC